CATTTAGCTAGTTATAAATATTTAAAACCAAACTCATTTTATCACTAGTAATAACAATATTTTAGTTTTTATCTCAAATGCATTCTGTCATATTTGAAGTAAGTCAAAGTCATTTTAATGTTCTTTGGTTAATCGTAGTTATAATATTCGCATTTTTCTAATTCTCTGATTGTATTGCTCATAATTAAAACAATATGAATTCATTTCATATTAACCATGAAATGAAATATAGAATTGTTCACCTGAAAGAAGAAGGTGTCTCTGTAACAGATATTATAAATCTAATGAAATAGGCATATCCGTAAGTTGACTTTTGTTCACCGTGCTTTTGAGATTTCTGTTACATTTACATAGGTTTAATTCTAACGATAGTTTTGTTTTTAGACAAATACTGTATGTCGTTCGATTGAGCGAAGGCATCCCCAAATTCACGTAACGACAGGACGCCGACGTCGAACCGGCGTCGAAGAAGACAGAAGAATAGTACAACGAGCTATAAACAATCGCTTTATTGATTCACGCCATTTATCGATTGAATTCGGTTTATCGCAGAGTACAATAAGGCGACTGTTTCATGAACAAGGTGTTCATCACAGAACACCTGCAAAAAAGCATAAACTTACATCAAGGCACAAAGCACAACGCTAACAATTTCCATAAAACTATATAAACTACAACTTCGAAAATGTCATTTTTATAGATGAAAAAGTATTTTGCTCATCTGCTTGTGGTCGTTTATCTTTATGGAGAATTAATAACACCAGATACTACGATGAGAGAAATATAATTACTAATAACAGAAGTGGCCGAATCACATTGGGTTTTTGGGGGTCAAACAAAATGGTCCGGGAGAAAACAAACTGATCGAAGTTGGTGGAAGATTAAACGGGCAGCAATATGAGGAGATCATTGAGAAAGTGCTATTGCCAACAACCAGAGTATTTTATCCGAATGAGTGTGAAAAATTGTATTCATTCAAGATAATAGCTCTGTCCACAACTGCAGGATAGTTCAGTATTATTTAAGCGAAAATATAAACTTCGAGCGAATCACTATTCCTGTACACAGTTCGGACTTAAATCCAATAGAAAACTTGTGGGGGAAAATGATACAACTTTGCGATAATACTGAAATAAGGTCTATCGAAAATTTAAGGCTACATGTTCTAAAACCATGGGAATCCATGAGAGGAAGTAATTTTTGTTACAATACGGTGTGATCAATGCGTCAACGGCTTAATGCCGTAATTGATGCCGAAGGAAGATAATATACTCGTTTCTAATTTTACTTTCTTTATATATAGTGTTATTATATACTTTCAATATATCTAAAATAAAATAAAATAAAGTTAAATTGTTTTAATTGTCAGTTTACAATGCGAAAAATAATTAGTTGGAATTTATCAAATTATTTAATTTTTTACCTATGCTCAGCAGTGAACTTTTTATTGGCAGTAATAATTCCAAGAAAAGTCCATGTAAAATGCTATGCTGTGCTATGTCGGTAGATAATGGTGTGCCCATTAACTACACTACGCTTGAAGTTATTGACGAATATGTTTCTTTATTATTCTTTTAACTCAGGTCATTCGACAGATCTTTGTAGGGCAGCGTTCGAAACATGCGACACATTCTCGTTTTTTATCTTTTCAATTTTTTTTCTGTTATAGATTATAGTTATATTATGGTTGTTTATAAATGACATGAATATTTATATCAACCTTATTACTCCACTACAACAGACATATCGTCCTACTTGTCCTTGAAGACGGTGTAACTACGCTCTTACTTCGGTTTAATCAGCATCGAAGTCAAAATTTTATATAAAACAATTTTATTGAAATAAAAAATCAATGTAACATTATTTTAATTAAAAAATCCTGTATTTTCTTGCTGTTGTGTTAAATGCATGAATTGAATTTTAAAATTATTCAAAATACAATCTTGTGTCATCAAGATAAAATTTCTTTTCCTAAGGTGTTCCAAATTTTTGAATACTTTGACTGCTTGGATACCATTGGCGTTCTGTTTGTTACTATAATATTGAACGGTTTAAATGATCGCATGTATTTGACGTTGTATGTGTTCCGTTATATTTAAGCAATACTAATGTTCTCAATAATTTGACCACTATGGATGGTTGAATATTTATGATCACTTTGGATGTTTCCAAATATTTGACCACCCTGACTGCTCCCATATATCTGACGCTGACTGGACACAATATAGGTCATAGAGAATATAACCACTAAAGAGCGTATAGGCAGATTTCTTCTAAGCATACGACTCACTACTGCGGGCCGGGGGACGAGGAAGGAACGCGTGGCTGCAAATGGTCAAGTTGCGTTGTTATGGCTATCTTTAGGGTTGCTCTTCTTAATAAAGGAAAATATTCGTTATCGATAAAATGGATTTTATCATTATGAAAAATACTCAATTAAAATCATAGAAATAATATTTTATCAAAATCAATCAGAACGAAAACATGTATTTATTATATTATTATTGATTTTTAAAATGAATTAATTTGTTATATTTATCTCGAATTAAAGTTTAAGGGTTCTGATTGTTTTTTGTAAAAAAAAACATGAACAAGCGTCTACATATTTGTAAATTATGCATCTTGCTAATTCAATTAAATTATTTGTTGATTCTATTTCAAATTGATGAAAATGAATATCCGAGAATCAATAATACCCAATCAGAGATTTTAAAACCGATCTTATAAAATAATTGGTATTATATTTCGAAGACAGTTCTTTTGAACCACTCTCATTGATCGCCCTCTTAATAAAAATTTTACAACGACGATAAATATCTATTACTGTAGTGGATCCGTACAACAACTTGTCTTTAGTGTCCTTTTGAAATTGTAAGGCGTTCTGATTTGGTACACCAATCTAATTAATTGAACTAGGTAACTATAAACTTTAACTAGGAAAAAATACCGACGAACTGACAACCTCCTCTTTTTTTTGAAGACGGTTAAAAGTAGATAAGTATTTATTCACAGTGTGTGAATTGAATAAGTTTTTTATTAATTTTAATTTTATTATTTTCGATATCGACTTTCAGCTATTAAAGGTAAGTACTAATGTTTATGATAAACATACAAAGGGAAAGAAAGGGACAGAAGTATTAGAATTGTCTAATAATAGAACGAGACTTTTCCAAAAGTCATCAACGCGCGATTCAACCATGTCGTCATTTACCCGGCCACCGTTTTAGATAGACCCCAGCGGTGGTTCATAATCTGAATTAATCAACAATAATTTTCGTATTTTCTATTTAGCAATGAAAAGTTACTCCATTCTTTTTGGACATCTGTCCTGGAATGTGTCCCACACCACTTCACCGTGCATGAAGGCATTTTGATGCATTATAATTGCATAAAAGTTATAAAAATTTGCATTAATTTAGCGTGCACACAGGTCTAACACTTGGACAATACTAAAATGGTTAATAGTACCATAGCCGATGCATAGGCGGACAAAATACTTATAGTTTTCGAGCGTCGGGGCACTGTATGCGCAGTCAAGTGGTTATATAGTCTTTGATATAGGTATATATAATATACTGGTTTCTTTCGGTGTCCTACATCATGCCCATACTTATTTAAGTATAACAGCTATATGTACGTGCAATATGTATATATATATATAATGGCCCCGCCACACCTATAACTATTATACTATTATACACATCGATCACTAATAAAACCTAGATGCACAATCCCATACAAAAGTTCTCTAAAAACTGTCGCCAACGGTTGTATCGTAATTCTAGTCGAAATAAATATACATTAATGTAAATTCACCTTAAATGCATAGCCTATAGTAGTATTCACAAATCTACGTACAAAAAGCAATAAATTTTTATGACTGTACTCGCTGCTCAACCTATATCAAAATAAATTCAACCTTACACTCATGTTTTAAAGTAAGAATTACAAAGTGCCAATAAAAAGCAATTAAATTTTACGACCGAGGCTCGTCGCTTGGACAAGGAATGAGGGAGTCGAACTGCCTAATATTTTTTGTTACTGTAATTTTAATATTTTAATGTTGTTAAACTTGTTTTACATTAGTATGTGTAGTAATTGGTGAATTATGTGTAATGGTTATAATTAACCTGAATGTAAATATGTTTTTGAATAGGATATCACATACATTTAGAAATGAAAGTACTTAAAACAGTCATAATTATTTATTTTATATCCTGTGTCAAAATTTAAAAATATTAATAATAATAATTTAAAAATAGTGGATAGGACGGAATAATTATGTTATTAATTTCCTTGAAATAAAATGAGTTTATTAAATAATCTAATCTCGAGGAAAGCTAAAAAATAAAAAATAAAATCTTACATCTTTAATTTGATTACATGCACATATTCAAAATTAAATCAATAAAATATTACTATAATACTTAGAGAAACAATAAAGAAGTCTCATTAAACAAAAAAAAACAATCATACTTAAATAATAAAAAAAAATAAAAACAATAACGTCTCCAACAAATGGAACAGAGTCAACGCACACAATTCTCGAATCATCAATCATGACTTATTTACTATGACTTAATTTAAAAAATGTTTTACGGGGATTTCTTGACAAAATATAAATATTTACAATGCAGTAATAACAATTAAATAATGATAATATTAATACATACCGAAAGTAGGAAATTTCATCCTTTTTTAGCGTCCTGGATGTGTGATTTTTACACTTTTTAAACGAGCACTGAGGCATGTTTACCGTCGGACCATTCGAATGTAACTAGATTAAAAGCGTACCCAAATGTTCGAATGGGTGCTCATTTGGTGAGGTCGTTTTTTCTCACTGATTGTGTATCTAGGTTTTTATTAGTGATCGATGATTATACATATTATATAACTATTATACATATTACATAATTTCTGGTTAATGGTTCATCCATTTACTGTAACAAAGAAACGCGACAATCAACGTGATAATTCTATCTTATTTAATTAATTTATAGGATAAAAGAGTTCGGCGCTTTAATGCAGCAGAACAAATTGCACCCACTTCGTGGCGCCGGCGCGAACTCACGAGCTAGAGCTCGCTTGCAGAGACACACTACGTACTGGCCATTGACCATTTCCTCCACTCTCATATTTAACTTGGGCTCGGTAAGTTTTTTTTTTATAAAACAGGGGGCAAACGAGCATGCGGCTCACCTGATGGTAAGTGACTACCGCCGTCCATGATCAACTGCAACACCAGGGGAATTGCAGGTGCGTTGCAGGCCTTTTAGAAAGGAGTAAGCTCTTTTCTTGAAGGTCCCTAAGTCGTATCGGTCCGGAAAAATCGCCGATAGAAAACGAAGAAGGTTATATGAGAAGGGTATAACAAGGTCGTTGTACGAGGAAGAAAACTCCTAGGAAAACGTACAGTAGTGGACCGCCAAGCATCCAGGTGGTGAAGATGGTATCGGGAATTTTGATGCGATGTGCGTTCATGAAATTTGGCGGCTGGAACTAATTCGAATAATTCCTCAGAACACTCCCCCATGGTAGATACGATAGAAAACGCAAAGGGATGCAACATCTCTACGCAGCGCCAGTGAATCGAGCCGATCAGAAAGCACTCGGGCGTCGACGATTTGAATCGCTCTGCGCTGGATGCGGTCAAGTGGAAGGAGCTGGCACTGGGGTGCCCCGGCCCAGAGATGAGAACAGTATTCCATGTGAGGCCGAACTTGCGCTCTGCTGAACAAGCCAAGCTTTTTAGAGGCCAATTTGGCCTTCCCCTCCAAGTCACCACTAAACTGCACACTATTCGATATGTCTGATTCTGATGCTAGCTGAGGCAGCAGGGGGAGTGCCTTTAAACTGAGGAGATATGACAAAGGGGTTCTTTTTAGCGGTTAACGCGCAAACTTGTGTCTTTTGGGGATTAAATATGACTAGATTTAGTCGCCCCCAATCCGAGACTCTTTTCAGCAAAGACTCGACTTCAGACACAAGTTTGTCCAGGTACTCGGCGACGATTTCCCGAGAAATATTGGCACGGCCTGTGTATAAAGCATCACCAGTGCTGTCGTCTGCACAGCAATGAATGCTACCAGTTTGCAACATATCATTGATATGCAGAAGAAACAGTGTTGGTGATAGCACGCAGCCTTGTGGAACACCAGCGTCAATATGCTTGTAATCAGAGCATGCACCGTCTACTACGACCTTGATGCTTTTGAGTTCAAATTGTATTGGCACCCAATCTGCCATCTAATTCTCAGGATTGTAATTTAAGGATAATGTAGGTTACCGCTTAGTAATGTTGTAAAAATATCCACTACTGCAGATCATCCCGTGGGTGTCAGGTAACAGGCGACAGAGGGAAACAAACCAGAAGATAGGCAGCAGCGTCTTCCTAATAACTACTAAACATAGAAAACTGCGGTTTCCGAGCCGCTTGCCAAGCGTGGCAACTGTGGCAAATATCCCCCCTATGAGGAAATCTATGGGGAGACCTAAGTTCAGCAGTGGACTTTTATAGGCTGTCACGTTTCAAAAACCGGGGTGAAAACAATAACTTTCCATATTTGGAAAATCAATGATTTTCATAGCGTGAAGTTAACTATAATTATTGCATTTGGATGATTGCAGATTATGGAACCCCTAACAAGACTAGTGGTACAGGAGTCTCTCACTGACGAAGAAGTCGATGCATGCCGGGGCGTACTACTGTCGTTACTGGGCATGGAGTCCCGTCATGAGCTGCCCTCGGCACAGTTGCCTTCCAATATGCGGTAAGTGATTATACATACATACATAAATATATAAACACTCACGCTTGTCACTCAAAGAGGTAGGTAGAGACTACAGACTTCCATATATCTACGCATACATGCTCGTCGGTTAAGGGTACTCTTAATTTTGCCCATTTTTAATATATCGCCAATATGGTCGACAAACTTTCGCCTAGGACGTCCCTTTCCGACTCTTCCATTCACTTCTGCAACATATATTTGCTTTGTTAATCTTTAATCATTCATTCTTTCTACATGTAAGTGATTATTGGTATACATATTTTCGTTGACTGACTGACTTCTTATTGGCTTGTAAACGATTTATTTATTTCCACTTTTTAACAAACAACTAAACGACCAGTCAACGTATTTATACAAATACACTAAATATATTTGCTTTGCAATTATATTTAGTTTATTTGTATAAATATGAAGCAATTTCATTAAATTTGCAAAGCAGACTTTTGTCTATGGGACCGCTCTGGCTTTGCCCGAGTTGAACAATTATATATCTGAAATATTAGGGAGGCATTTTAAAACTATATGTTATATAACATTTTATGTTTTGTTTTTCTGAAGTTTTAAAATAAATTGATTCTCGGCATTTCCTGACCTACGTGCAACAGCCGCGCCGACTGCCACCATAATTATTTTGTCGCGCGAAAGTTTTTATATAAAAATGGTTATTGTGTGTTATCGTTACAAAGTAGACATTTTTTATAGGATAGAGTGATAAACGAGCACACAGTCCATCTGATGGTAAGTGGTTGCTGCGGCCCATAGACATCTACATCTATCGTCGATTACAAATCAAAATGCAGATGCGTTGTCACCCGCTAGGACTAAGATGGAATGCCTCGTTTCCAGTCAAAAGAGTCTCCGGATCTCTACACTCACCATACGAAACATTATTTAAGTTGCTATTTTACGCTGGTATTCTGTGAGAGCGTGGTCCTTCCTCGGTCGAGCCGACCCATTCGTGCTACAACTATACTACTTATATAACTGCAGCATGGCTCTACCACGTATAATGCTGTCACATACATTTTTAAAGAACAGCCATACATTATTTTCGTGTTTTGAATATTCAAACAACTGGAGAGGCCATGCGCGTTAATTCCTAAACAAAAAGTCTGTTAATTTCCGGGGGGCGCAAGAGAAACACGCTACTGTATACTTCACTACAAATGCAAATTTGAATCGCGTCACTATACACGCACACTACAGAATTGACGTTTGTGTTCATTGCATTTACGCATACCATCAAATTGTACACGTGTCGATACACTGGTGCCGCTGTCTACATGCGTAAGCCAGCGGTAAAGGAACACATTTGGGATCGATAAGTCATCAGTGGCAACACCCACTGGTTGTACAATCTCGTTTTCAAGTTTTGATGTATACCTGACAAGATGTGTCGTAATCTCCCAAACGCTGTCCAGCCGAGTTGAATCCGTCAATTGACCTCCTGATCGAAGTTGGACTTACCTATAGTATGTGCCAAATCGATTGAGAAAAACGGACAATGACCTCAGATATGAGCCGAGTGTCAAAAGGCGTAACTTACAAAATCTCAGTTTAGATGTGATAACAATATTTAAATATTGATATTATTTACACTTCTAGGTCAGCACATAAGTGTTTTTTTTGTTTGTTAAATAATATTGTCTGTGGTTCCTATAAACATCGTAAAATCTTACGGTACATCGCAAAAAATGTGTTATATTTTATATTTCAATTTATGGTAAGTAACGCAGCAATTCATTTAATAACAATTTCATATTAAAAAAATAATATTTGAAAGCAATATAATCACAATATTGAGCATTTGCAAATTCATCTCTTTAAAATAAACAAAACGCGCGTTACGTCAATTCGTTCTAAAAGAAACGTGACAATGGCAGCCAGAGATGCGTCACCTTTTTTGGGCCGGTCTGCATGCACCGAATAAAAATAAAGTTCTTATATAATATTTAAAATAAAGTTATATCTTTTGAATAAGTACGTACTTATTCGATGTCGGTATCACCCGAATCTTTATGTGTTATAAATAATAATAATAATATATATAGATTACAGAAAGGCATTTGACTCGGTGCCCCATACATGGCTAAAGAGAGTCCTCGAGCTGTACAAGATTGACTGTACAGTTCAAGACTTCCTCGAGCAGTGTATGGGTCAGTGGAGTACGATCCTCTGTCATCTAGGCGAGCGGATGACGGCTGCGGAAAGCCGTATAAGGATAAGAAGGGGTATATTCCAGGGCGACTGTCTGAGTCCAATCTGGTTCTGCCTCTCTTTGAACCCTCTCAGTACTTTACTGGAGGGCTTCGGGAGGGGATTTCAGCTTCGGAAAGGAGGTGCAAAAGTAACCCACCTTTTCTATATGGATGACCTCAAGTTATTCGCCTCCAGTCGCTCCCATCTTATGGAATTGCTAAACATCACTTGTGAATTTAGCAATTCTATTAGAATGGAGCTGGGGACGGATAAGTGTGCGGTCCTCCATGTTGAAAGGGGAAGGGTTGCTAACTCTGAGGGCATAGACTTATCTATGCCCGTCAACTTAAGGGCCCTTTCCGAGGCTGAAACATACCGATACCTGGGTATGCCACAGAACATCGGTATCGATGAGGCTGGTATGAAACAGTCAGTTTGCGACGTGTTTTATGCACGCTTGACCAAAGTGCTTAACAGCCTTTTGTCCGGTGTGAATAAGACACATGCATATAACGGTTGGGTCATGCCTGTCCTCATGTATACCTTTGGCATACTCAAGTGGATTCAGACTGAACTTAACGCCCTGGATAGAAAAGTCCGCACTACAATGACGTCCCATAGGATGCATCATCCGAGATCGTCGGTAAACAGGCTGTACTTGCCGCGAAAGCATGGTGGGCGTGGCTTCCTGAGCGCGCTCACCATGCATAATCGCGAAGTGTGCAGCCTCCGTCATTACTTCCTGGCGAGATCGGATGATCCATTCTATAATGACGTCATTTCTAGTGATAAAGGACTTACCCCTCTATCCTTAGCCAATGAGCAATGGCAAGACCCGGCAGTACAGAGCATTTCCGACCGGGAGACCGTATGGAAGGAGAAGGAGCTCCACGGGAGGTACTACAGGGCTCTACATGAGCCTCACATAGATACAACCGCCTCCCTCAACTGGCTACGTTTCGGTGACCTCTTCGGGGAAACCGACGGTTTTGTCTGTGCAATACAGGATCAGGTTATTAAGACCAACAACTATCGATGATACATCCTAAAGGATGGCACTGTCGACGTCTGTCGAGCTTGTCGCCATCCCGGGGAGTCACTTAGGCATGTCATCTCCGGTTGTTCGGCGCTTTCTAACTCTGAGTACTTGCACAGCCACAACCTAGTAGCCAGAATTCTACACCAGGAGCTCGCTCTGAAATACGGTCTCGTGGACCGAAAATTGCCGTATTACAAGTACTTGCCGGAAGCCGTGCTCGAAAATGACCGCGCCAAGCTCTACTGGGACCGGGCCATCATCACAGACAGGACTATTCTTGCGAATAAGCCTGATATTGTGCTGATGGATCGGGCACAGTCAAGGATATTTTTGATCGACATTACCATTCCGTATGACGAGAACCTCGTGAAAGCCGAAACAGAGAAACGAACAAAATATCTGGACCTGGCTCACGAGGTGACCGACATGTGGGGTGGTCTGCCGACCGAAATTATTCCTGTAGTCGTCTCTGCGAATGGGCTAATCCCATTCAGCCTCTCGGGTCATCTGAGGCGACTGGGACTCCGTGACGAACCGCTCCGGGCTCAAATGCAGAAGGCGGTGCTCCTCGATACCGCCCGCATCGTCCGCCGGTTTCTTTCCCTTTCCCCCTAACCCTCGACCGTTTGGTCTCCCCTGCCGAGGGCTCCCATCTGGTTGAATCTTATTTATTTATGTAGTTTTTGTGTTTATTTTATTTTATTGATATTTATGTATATTTATCTTTTTATTTTAATTTATAATTATATATTTATAGAACCCATCCAGGTGAGAAAATTATATAGATACCCCAATAATATATATTTTATTTACTCTCACAATTTAAATTAACAAGTTAAAGTATAAACAGTGTACACTATGGGCTGAGAGTCTGGTGTCTATACTAGGCGGAAGCCTGTGTTACGGATCACCAGGGTCTCTCCCTCAGGATATTATCAACATAACTGAACAAGTTATTTGTTTGATTAACAATTGAGAGATATTGTATAATAGTTACTTTTGTGTTGTGTGTGTGTGTGTGTGTGTGTGTGTGTGTGTGTGTGTGTGTGTGTGTGTGTGTGTGTGTGTGGAGTGTGTGTGTTTGTGTGTGTGTGTGTGTGTGTATCTGTGACTTGTGTATGTATGTATGATCTATCCAGTACTAAAACTATGTATATGAAATAAGAAGGTTTTCAGTGGTCTCATAGTCCAGACTTAACAACCATTGAGTTACTTTTAATTTGCAAGTGCATTTATTAAGAGGATATATAACAATTCTAGGTTATTAAAAATGTATATTAACTTTCTTACTCTAGTTGTTAACATGTTTATGTGGCTATGAAAACTGAGTTTGTTATCAATCTCCAAGATATTTTATATTATCTACTCTCTCAATAACACTGCAATGACATTGTGACGTTTTCAGCTTTGAACATGTATGTACTCTTAATGAATATTGGGAGTTAATGTTATTTGTTGAACGCATGGTAAAAGTCATATATTTTGTTTTTTGTATATTTAATGTTAAAATGTTGTTTTTTAGCCAGTCAGATACTTTATTTAAGCCTTCTTAAGCGTTTGCATATACTTCTTGCCACGTATTTGCATAAAAATGAGGGCTGTATCGTCAGCAAAACTTAGGATCTTACCTTGTGTAACTTTAATATTGAGGAGATCGTTAATGTATGTTAAAAACAGTGTAGGACCGAGTACACTTCCTTGTGGTACGCCAAATGATATGTTAAGTGCTTCACTAACATGA